GTCTTGATCGACTTGTAATAATAAACGTGATTATTTTTTATATACTACAAGTTAAGTAATCGCTTTCTTTCATTAATGTGTTACGGGTCGTGAATCGGCAAATATTTTAACATCACTGATTCACTTGTATTTGAAGTCTTTAACCAGTGAATTAAATATAGCGAGTACTAAACTTTATTTCAACGATTGACAAGTAAATAATTATTTTGGTCATTAACCTGATTGTCTTAACCAACGAATCATGCTTAAGTCTTGACATGTTTGATCTAATAAATGATCTGATCATATAGAGCATACAAAATTTTCAGAAAAAGAAATTGTACTTCGTCTCTTATCCTAGGAGGTGTTTTCACACAAGCAACATAGGTTGTCTCCTTCGCAATGTCCTCTATGTTCTTCTTCTTCCTTCTTCTCTTTTTCTCTCCTTCTCTCCTTTATGGTTTCCCTTTATTAATGGACAAAACAAACCCATGTATGAATAGGTATATGAGTCTTGATGGATTAGTTGTTAACTGTACAACATGAAGATTCTTTATATTGAAGTCTTGATCGAGTTAAGTAATTGTCATCTTTTATTAATGTGCTACAGGTCGTTAATCTACACAATGTTAACATCACTATTTACTTGACTTTGGAGTCTTTGAACAATTAACTAAAGATAGTGATCAACAAATAAGTCAATTTGAATGGCCATTTATGTCATGTCTAGTCAACAAGCAACTACTGGCTTTAAAAAAATCATGTCAACTAATCAGATTGTCGAAGAAAATAATTATAAAAGATTGACGAGAAAGAAAGCATGAGTGAAAAGCTAAGGATATCTCAAAGAAAAGATTCAAAATTATGAGAAAGAAATATAAATATGTGGCTTTGTAAATGGAGTTCTTCTCTAATTTTGTTCAGTTTGCTCATTTTCGTTATTCATGGTAATTGTGTCAACATATTGGCAGGAAACAAACTTTAACACTTGCGTCATACATTACCTATTATGTAGTTAATGTAGTTATCGTGAGAAGATGATGAACTGTAGGATAAACTACTGTAATGTAGTTATTAACTTTCTTTAATAAATGATGAACACATTAGATGGAGTGAAATTCAAATACGTGATAGCATATGTGAACTAAAGATCAAAGCTACTCAACTAACTAAATGTATGACAGCTTATGAACAATCTAGAAAAGAAACATATGTGATCATTTAAACGAGCAGCTTATTGCCTCAAAAGAGAAAGGTCTAAAACAAAAAAAAAACATAACAATTTTACCTTTCCAGCAACTGATATGTTGCTTCTTCCTTCAGCCTCTCTAACAAAAAGGGCTTCAACACTGGTAGAGTGTAACACAGGGAAAGTATTGAAAACCGTTTGAACTCAAAAGTACTATTTTCTACTTTCTTGAGTTGCCTCGGTCCCTTTTTCTTTGTTGCTTCATGTTGCAAGCACTCTTCTATTGATCATCAAATTTATGTATACTTTTTTTTCCAGTTAACAATATCTTGTACAGACTTGTCATGTACAATGTTAAGTTAAGTAGGATATTAAAATTTGAAACATTAAATTCTTTCCATCTTATTATCAAAAATTATATTAACATCAGTTATTGTCATTTGAAAGTATATTGCAATTCCTTAACTGAAAAAGTAGCCAAGGTCTACTAGAAATTGTGATCTTAGAGTTCAACTTAGTTGTGTGCATCTAATTGCAACAAGTTGTGTGCATATTATTATTCTTATTTCGTTTTTTTAAAAAATAATCTACTTTTTATGTTTTCTCTAAGGTTATGGCACCTAGTAAGAAATGGATGGAACTTGTTGACAATCGACTTGATGAAGTCTATTTAGTCGGTGTGCAAAAGTTTTTAGATTATGCCTTTCAAAGAACAGGAAAAGAACATGAAATACGATGTCCATGTGTCAAATGTTTCAATACAATTCTAGGAACTCGTAAAATAGTTGAGACACATTTGCTAGTGTATGGTATAATTCGAAACTATACTATCTGGTATCATCATGGAGAACGTTGGGTGAGCCATTGACTGAATATGAATCTGAAGATGAAGATGGTGATGCAGTAGAAGAATGTGAGAGTGAGGATGAAGTAGAAGAATTGTTGATAGATCTATATCCTAATCTTGACGGAGGAAGTACACACACAGATTGTGATGATTTACTTGAGGAGGAACCAAATGTTGAAGCAAATTTTTTTTACAGACTATTAAAGGATTTTGAGAAGCCGCTGTACAAAAATTCAAAAGC